CGTTTCCGACTATTAGATACAGTATATCAGGTGTGACAATTTTTTCCTTTAAGACTCGTAGTCAAATTGGAAGTATGCGGTTTAGATTCGACAATGCTTTTGGTTTCTAGTTCTTCAAATTGTTAAAAACACACTTCTTCATTACCTTTTTCGTTATTATTTGCTGAAATGAATAGTCATGTTGAATGTTGGTTTCCTCAGGGGAGGTCACATTAAACTCTACGTGAAGTTCTAGGCATAAAAATAGAAGTAGAGTGGTCATTAGGCTTTCTTTTTTTCGTTTTAGGACGTCTTCTTCTTCTTCTTTGTCTAGCCATTCACGTCCACATCTGAACATAAGCCTCTTCAAGTCTTCCTTTCCATTGTTTTTTATTGTACGCTACTTGTAGCCAATTTTTCCCGGCAGTCCTTTTCAGATCATCTGTCCATCTCATAGGAGGTCTGCCTCTGGGTCTTTTGTGTTGGTATGGTCCCCAGGTTAAAATTGATCTGTGCCAATTGTTTAGATCGCTCCTAGCTACATGTCCAGCGTATTCCCAATTCAACTTTAATGATTTTTGCACCACATCGGTGACTTTGGTTTTCTGTCTTATCCATGTATTTGTTTTCTTGTCCTTAAGTGATATACCTAGCATTGCTCTTTCCATCGCGTGTTGAGTGACTCTAAGTATATTCATATTCTTTTTTGTGATTGTCCATGTTTGTGCCGCATAAGTTAATATCGGAATAATGCATGCATCAAAAACTTTAGATCTAAGATGTAATTGAATTTGTTGATTTCTGAGTATATAGTTCAGTTTACCGAATGCTGCCCAAGCTAACTTTCTTCTTCTTTTTATTTCTTCAGTCTGAATTTCCCTATTTAGAATTATTTTTTGTCCCAAGTATATTATATTCTTCAACTTTTTCTATAACTTTATCGTTTATTATTGTCACGGTGTCTTCGGAGTGTGTTTTGTTTTGTTTAAATTCATTTTCAGTCCTATTTTAGAAAATTCGGTATGTAGTTCTACAAGCATGGTTTGCATTTCTTGTAAGTCAGTAACTATCAGGATTATGTCATCTGCAAATCGTAGATTACTGAGGTAGCGGCTATTGATGTTTATTCCCTCATATTTCCAATTTAGGTTTTTAAAAACGTCCTCCAAAACTAAGGTGAACAGTTTGGGTGGTAAAGTATCTCCCTGTTTGACTCCCCTGTTTAATGGTACAGGGTTCGTGTGTTCATTTTCATTTAGGTAGTATGTAGCTGTAGCTTGGTTCATAGTTTCTTTTGTTAAGTTTATATATCTGCTGTCTATTCTACAATTTTGCAATGCGTTTATTACGGCCGTGTGTTCTATGGTATCGAAAGCTTTTTCGAAGTCTACAAATGCTAGGAAAACTGGAAACTTGTATTCGTTACATTTTTCTACTAATATTTTTGTGGTTAACAGGTGATCGGAAGTTGAATAGCCTTTTCTAAAACCTGCCTGTTCATATGGTTGGTATTCGTCTAATTTCCTTGTTAGTCAAGTAGTTATGACTTTGGTGAGTATTTTAAACAGGTGTGACAGTAGGCTGATGGGTCTGTAGTTTTCCAATTTTCGACTATCACCTTTCTTGTGTAATAAGATTACTTTAGAGTTGTTCCAGCTCTTAGGGACTTTGCCCTGATGTAAACAACTGTCCACAAGCTTAGTTACAATTGCAATTAGTTCCTTACCTCCTTCTAATATCATATCTGTGGTAATACTATCTTCTCCTGCAGCTTTATTTCTCTTCATGTTTTCCAATGCTGTAGTTACCTCTGAAATTGTTACTTTTGGCATGATTTCTGATCCAACATTTTTTATTAATTTCCGTGCTGGTCTCATCTCATCATCTTGTTGATGTGATCTGTAAAGTTCTGTGTAAAATTCTTCTATTCGTGTCAGTATGTTTTCTCTACTTCTGATTTCATTTTCGTCTTTTCCTATTAATGATATCATCTGACGTCGTCCTAGTGTCGGTCTGAGGCATTTCATACTCTTATTTTTTTCAATAGTTGTTGTTATTAATTTTTCGTTTTCTTTTTTTTTTTTTGTTGTCTGATTACTTTTCTAATCTGCCTATTAAGTTCTCTATATTCGTCGGTTCTCCTTTTGTTCGATTTATTTAAGATCTTCCTTCTTTCTATTTGTTGTAATATTTCTTTGTCTAATTCATTGTATGTTGTTTTTGGTTTTTTCAGTTGCAGAAGGCTTTTATTCACTGTTTCGGTAATAAGGTTATTCAAATCATCAATATCATTGGAGTTTATCTGCTGCATGCTAACTTGATTTAATGCATGCACTATCTTTTTATTAAATTCACTATTTTTGATTTCTTCAGATTTCCATTTGTATCTTTTTTCACGTTTTCTTTTTCTTTATAGTTTTTTGTTAATTATTAGTGTGGTTTTTATTAGTCTATGATCGATTCCTAGGTCAAACTGATTTAATACTGATACGTCTTCCACTAGGTTTCTATTCTTCGTTAAGATATAATCTATTTTATGCTTTGTCTTTTTATCGGGACTCATCCATGTCCATTTTCTGCTTGGTTTTTTAATGAAAAAGGAGTTCATTGAGTACATGTTATATTCATTCATGAAATTGAGAAGCATTTCTCCTCTATCGTTTCTTTTCCCGTAGCCATAGTTACCAATTAAATGTTCATAATCTTCCTCTTTTTTGCCCAATTAAGCATTAAAATCTCCTAATAGTATTTCGAAATTTGCTTCTTTTGTTTCTATAGCTGTTCTTATTTCATCATAAAATATTTCTACTTCTTCATCGTCGTGGCTTTTGGTCGGAGCGTACACTTGGATCACTTTCAGGGTGGTTTTTTTATTAATCCTGATGATGAGATATGCTACTCTGTCTGATATGGGCTTGAATTCTTCGATACACTGTGTGAGGCTTTGTTTTACCAAGAATCCCACTCCAGTGTATTCGCCACCTTTATGCATAAAATGTGTGCAATTTTTTAGTATTATATACTCATCACTTTTTCTTCTGGTCTCGCATATACCAAGGATATCCCATTTTATATCCTTTGGTTCACTTTCTATTTCTGGGAATCTATTGTCGTCCGTCAGTGTTCGAATATTGTAGGAGCATAGCCAAATTGTCATATTGTGGCAGCCGGGTCTTACCCAGGGATTCTTAGCACCCCCCCTTCCGTTAGTTGTTTGATCGCTGCCGCGATCAAGACTCTGGGAAGTGCTGGTCACTGGGGGCCTTTTCTTTTTTGTCCTGTACATGACTTGAAGGTTTGGACCGTTATCTCCTCACGCTGGTTCAGTGCGGGTTGAGGAGGGAAGGAAAGGATTTGGGTAGGTCTGGGTTGGTGGGTAGGATTTAGGGATTAGGATCCGCTTCTCTCCCGGAAGAAGATTGGGAGAAAAAGCCGAGCTCGCGTGGGCAGGGGCGCATCCCTGAAGCAGACCTGTCTTTACCGGGATCGTAAAGAGTGTCTACCCGCTACCCGCCGTTTTAGAACTGCCACACTTAAAATCGCTAGTTTCATCACCAGAAAATTCTAGTTTCGTCATTTGATTAAATGTCATCATTTCATTTATCTATCAATATTTTTCAGCCTCCAATTATTACAATTGGTATTGGGTTAGGTGTCTTCTGTCGTCAAATTCTCTAGTCATTTTTTAATGAATTTGTGTGTAAATGAGAAAAGAAAATAATAATACTTTAAAAAGAATATAAAAAAACTTACGTTAATACTAAAATAGCGTAAAAAATACAAAGCAACTGCGATCTTGTAGTTAACGACTACAAAAAGAAAGGTAAATACCCTATGAATGTACTGTACGAAATGATTACCGAAACTAGTTCAATACCCACGCTTCTAAAATGCATGCAAGAAAATACCGCTATCAATAAATCGATAGCATATCAATGATAAATAATTTACATTTTAAAATAAAATACATATTATGAAACAAACTTGGAATTAATATTGAGAGTAAAAATAAATGTAAGACCAAACTTACTTGCCATCAATACATGTGGTTGTCTTTTTACGGACAAATCACATGCTATGATTTTTCTGATAATATTGACAATATTATTTTAATATCCACTAGGAAACTAAGTTCCTGTAGCTGGTTGTATACAATGTATCACAAATTTTTTTTATTTTAAATGCTTTATAAAAGGTATACAGTACAGGTATACATAAAAGGTATGTATAATAAAATATCCAAACGGTCTATATCACAATTACATTAGAGAACGTTTTCGGAATGAAAATTATATCATCAGTGTATCGAAGTATATATGCTATGATTTACTAAAATGTATGGGTAAAAACCCGTTAGATGTTGTTAATTTAAAATTTTGTTACATTATATGTTCTTCCAAATTAAGATGTACAAGTTACCGTTTCAATTGGCAACATAGCGACGTATGACTCTACATAGTTTAAATAGTCCTGAGACAAAGTGTCTTCGAGGACCTGTTGAGAGACTCGGAAAGTTGTTATCAACAGGTCCTCGAAGACACTTTGTCCCAGGACTGTTTAAACTATGTAGAGTCATTTGTCGGCATGTTACCAATTCCAACGGTAACTTGAACATCTTAATTTATAATATCATAGAATGTAACAAAATTTTAAATTAACAACATTTAACGGGTTTTTACCTATATATTTTAGTGGCTCATATCATGTATACTTCGTTACACTGATGATGGAATTTTCATTTAAAATTAAATTATTAGAAGAATTTACAACAAAAATAAAATTTGATTAATTTATTACTGTTTTGTTATTTTTTAGAACGATTTCCGAAGTGGAAATCGAAATGTAAAATAAACTTAATTTTAAATTATGGTTTATTGAAATTACATTAAGATGTCACAGGAAATAGCGTCAGAACACTATTACTAGTTTAGTTCTTATAGATTTTGTTTGTAAATAAATTTAAAATGTGTTTATCTGATTTTATTCTAATAACAATTATTTATCTAAAATAATTTTTACAGGGCACTCATGGATTTACCGATGTGGAACTTGAAGAAATAAATAATATATGTTCTGAGGAAATAAGTAAGTTTAATAATTTTGTAAACTGTGGCAATCATATACCTACTTTTAGATTTTAAATTTTAAAAGTTTTACGTTTGTGTTACATATTGTTCTGTTTAGTTTTTTATATATCTTATGAAAACATAATGTCAAGTAATCAATGAAAATTGCAGACAAACATCGTGGACAAAAAGGAGATAGGGGGTTAGACGGAATTATAGGTGCTCCAGGCACTCGAGCACCACCTGGACCACCAGGCATGCCAGGAAGATATATACCTGGTACGTAAAGTATATAATATGACATAGTTTGATATTGACGTAAGTTAGCTATAATACAACCTATAAGCCATCTAACAAGTAAAGAGTAAAAATGTTTTTTAGTTAATTAATTATAAACTGAAAGGCATAAGTTAGGGATATAACTAAATGATAAATAAACAATATATATATATATATATATATATATATATATATATATATATCATTTTTCGTATAAAAAAGCTTGCACGTCATTTAAGATTTACGTCTTCAGAACCCCACAGCGTTGCCAAAACATCAGAATAGTTAGTAAGTGAGGAACTTTTAAAATGTCAACTATTTGCCAAAATATTATACAGTAAATACACTTAGATTTAAGACTACTGCAACACATTAAAATACATAGGAAAACATTTTAATACAAAATTATATATTCTAAATATTAAACTTACCTCTTTTAGGGCTTTAATAGTAAAAACGTCCCGTCATTATTGCTTGTTTAAAATAATCTATCTTAGGTATATACAAGCTTATCAGCTTTCAGACTATTTATTTGGTTTGGCATATCACAATCACAATACATAACAATAATTAGTTTTTAAAGATATTAATATAAATTTAATATGTATTTGTAAATACAATATATTATTAAATATTATATTATGATCAAATTGTGTAAGAAATTAAAACATAAACAAAGTTCCTACTCTAAAAAAGCGGCAACACTTAATACGCTTTTGCCACCCGCTGAACTGTCAAAAAAATTTGAAATAATTTTGTATCAGTTGCGTACAATTGTCTAATATATTTAATTAAAATTATTAATTTGTGGAATATTAGATTTAAAGAGTTCTTTCATAAAATTTATATTAATAATAACAACAACAAAGTGTTTTACTTTGAAAAATGGTATAACAACAATTACACAACTGTATAAATAAATTACGTCACTTATATACATTAACCTTCCAGTACATGGACTATATTTTCTAACGTGACTATATGCGTGGATTACATTAGAAATCCATACGTACTGGATCTCTGGAAAAGCAATATTATTTTAAAATAGTGTTTGTATTTATTAATACTACTGCAATAAATCAAAGTTACCTATAACCAAACATTACAAACTAAACTACGTTCTATAATATCCTAAATATAACATCCTAATCTGATTCTGACTGGATATTCTGTTTTATTTCAGCACAATGTACATATTTGCTTTAAATGTCCTGGGCAAGTCCACTAGTTACAGGTACTGTACGAAGATCGAGTCGGAATTGCTTTAGCAGTTTTCTTATTTATTTTTATAAGAAATTTCATTTTTTCTTTTATTTCTTTTGATGTGTGAGTGTTGTCTAGTCGCTTCTTGGGAGTGATGCAGTGACATTATTTATTAGCCTTTTACAGGGGAAATCCATTAGTGCATTAATACATTTCTGTCCGTTCCATCTGTGGATTTAACAACCTCTGCGCTACTCCAATCATTTCCAAAAGGACCAGTTGATTGTGTTTTACAGTAAATCTTCATATTATAGTTATATGCATATATATATATATATATATATATATATATATATATATATATATATATATATATACATATATATATATATATACATATATATATATATATATATATATATATATATATATATATATATATATATATATATATATATAAATCTATATAAAAGGGGTTCCTACAGTTGTCGCTATCTCCCTTCTCTCAACCATTTTCTCCATTCTTCTTTGTCCTCCCATCCTTTGTCTTCCAATCCTCTTCTTTCCATGGCTTCATCTCTAAAAGATCTTCTTGGTCTGCCTCTTTTGCGTTTTCCTATGGGGCTCCACTCTGTTATTTTGCTATTCATCGGTTTGCGTCTGTTCGTCTGACATGTCCGTACCACGTTAATCTTTTATATATAATCTATAATCTATATGCATATTTGCTATCTAATAACGCAAATAGTTTTGCGTTATTATATTTAAGTATTTTAAATAAAGACCCGCCCACAAATGCGCAACATATTATCTTTAGTTAAGTATATCGTGATGATATATAATGTAGATATTGTCATTTATCGATCATCATATTATCAACATCAGTAAAAGTAAAGTAAAACGATTTAAAATCATACACATAAGCATTTAAAGGCAGTACTAACTAGATTTTAAACGTTTTTATGTACAATTTCTAACGATAAAATAAAATAAATAAAAAAGCGGGTTGAAAACTAAAACAGTCTATTATCGAAATATATCGAAAGATTTAAACGATTCAAAAAGCAGATACTAGGGAATTAAAAAACTTTGAGAATAAAATGTGGATTATATAAATAATATTTTTTTTAGAATACTCGTCTTCCTCCAATTGAATAAGAATACAGTTTTGGCAGTTAGTAATCTTAATGGTATGGCCCTTGCATACAAAATGTTTACATATATCTATTTTTGTCATCAATGGCAATGTAGAATAAATAATCAAACTCCTAGATTCTTATTGAATCCGGATTTTGAAAATCTTAGTTTTCGAAATATTCTGATTTGGTTTAGTATAATTTTTTCAACCTCTTTTTAATCGTTAAAGTCCACTATATTCTCCACATCTGAGATATTATCAGCCAATACTTATAACTATATGTCTGTCAAATGTTTTTTAGAATTTTTATACCTAAAATTTTTTTCTTGCAAATATACTACAACTACCTCTAAGATTTAAGGCTACCTTTTATCTTCTTCTTCTTCAAGTGCCCTGTCCGTTGCGAACGTTGGCTATTAACATGGCAATTTTGATCTTGTTTGCGGCGCTTCTGAATAGTTCGACCGATGTGAGCCCGAACCACTTCCGCAGATTTTGGAGCCACGAGTGTCTTCTCCTGCCTGGCCCTCGCTTACTGTCTATTTTTCCCTGGACAATCAATTGTAGCAGATGGTACTTATCGTGTCTCAATATGTGGCCTAGATATTTAAGCTTTCTTTGTTTAATTGTATTCACGATTTCTTTCTCCTTTCCGATTCTTTGGAGTACTTGTATGTTGGTGACATGTTCGGTCCAGGATATACGAAGAATGCGTCGGTACACCCACATTTCGAATGCTTCTAGTTTTCTCGTTAGCGTCTCCGTCAGCGTCCAGGCCTCCACGCCATACAGCAAGATCAGAAAAATGTAGCATTTAAGTATGCGTAGTTTTAGGGGAAGAGACAAATCCTTGCTTATGAGGAGCTTTTTTATATTGCTAAATGCTGCTCTAGCTCGTTCGATTCTTGCCTTAATTTCTATGGTCTGTTTCCATTCAAGGTACACATAAGGTACACATAAGATTCTACATGGTCAATTAGTATGTTACTTATCCGTAATTGTCGAGCAGGTTGTTGCTTTTTGCTTATCAGCATCCACTTTGTCTTCTTGAAGTTGAGGCTCAGGCCGTATTCCTCACTAACTGAATAAAGTCTTTCCATTACTTGTTGTAAATCGTCTATGGTACTGGCAAGGATCACCGTGTCGTCGGCATATCTTATATTGTTCGTTAACTCGCCGTTTATTTTTAAGCCCTCATTTGCATTTTCCATACATTTGTTAAATATTTCCTCGGAATATATATTGAATAAAAGTGGGGATAATATACACCCCTGACGGACACCTCTTTTGATCTGTACGCTTTCAGTGAGTTCGTTGCCAATTTTGGCTCTTGCTGTTTGACCCCAGTATAGGTTTGCCACAATTCGAATGTCTTTGTCGTCAATACCTGTCTTTCGCAGAATACCTATCAATTTTTCATGATTGACATTGTCAAATGCTTTTCTAAAATCTACAAAGCACAAATACACGTCCTTATCAACGTCTCTACACCGCTGTATAAGCACCTGGAGAGCGAAAATTGCTTCTCTAGTTCCAAGTGCGTTCCGAAAACCGAACTGCGATCTATCAATATTTGACTCACATTTATCATATATTCTTCTATGAATGATCTTAGTGAACGCTTTAGTGACATGATTGATCAAGCTTATAAGCCGGTAGTCATCACAAATCTGGGCATTTGGTTTCTTCGGGATTGTAATAAATGTTGACTGTAGCCAGTTCTCCGGGATTTTACCGCTATTATATATGTTTATAAAAAGTACAACTAGATTATCAACCTACCTTTTATAACAACAACAAAAATTTAAATATTACAAAGTAATAAAAAAGATAAAATTTAATTCTGAATGACCAACTTGAGACAAACGGTTCTCGCCTCCTCAACCTATTTCATTAGGGACTATAAATTTGTAAACCCAAGCCAAAAATAGATCACTTGAGAAAGGCTATCAGCCGAAACAGCTGTAGTGATAATAGTTAAAATAAATTTTGTGAAAGTATATATATATATATATATATATATATATATATATATATATATATATATATATATATATATATATATATATATATATATATATATATATATATATATATATATATATAGAACGCTTCGAGGAAAGGAGTACGACTGTCAATCCAATATAAATTAGGGATCACTAGGAGGAGTGGTTGGTTTTTTTCGGTAAAAAGTTGGAGAAAAAAACAAATATGATGGCTACTTCATCTATTTCTTGAAGACGTTTCACTCTTAATCAGAAAGCATCATCAGTGCATCTAAAAAGAACAATATGAAAAAACCACACAAGCATGGAAAAGTGGTTACATGTGTTACCTTAAAAAGATATGTAGCAGTCAGTAATATTAAAAATGTAAAGTCGTTTAAAAAGTAAATAAACATTATACGATTACGATGTATAAACAATAATTTGAACTAAATACAGTTAACAATTTGTTCTGTGTATAAAAAACCACGTCTTCTTTTGCTGTGCTAAGTGTGAACAAATTGTTAACTGTATTTAGTTTAATTTATTTTTTATACATCGTAATCGTATAATGATCATTTACTTAAGCGTCTTTACATTTTTAATATCACTGACTGCTACATATCTTTTTAAGGTAAGACATGTAACAACTTTTCCATGCCTGTGTGGTTTTTTCATATTGTTTTCTTTAGGTGAACTTATGATGCTTTCTGATAAAGAAAGCGAAACGTCTTCAATAAAAAAAGGCAGCAAATATTTGATTTCACGCAAACAAATCCTATGTATCTGTTGATACGTATTTCGACCTAATAGCTCTCGTCAAAACAGCTATTCATAGGAGTTCTCAACATGAAAAATCAATATTTTCTGCTTTTTAAGAAGCAACAATAACATGGCTTCAATACGGACGCGCTAGCGACATCTAATTACAAAATCCGTAAAAATAGTTTCGAAACACAATTCATATTTCTGCTTTATAATCTGAGCCTTCTAAAAATTGCAAGGAAAACAGACGTTGATAAAAGATGTTAAAAGAGACATGGGGAATCTAAAATTTGCATTCCACGACATGTCTTTTACAACTAAGCAGAAATACTTAGCGAATTGTGCTTCTAGTACTCACACAGAGTAAATCCGAATAAAATGAAAAAAGGCAGCAAATATTTGATTTCACGCAAAAATCCTTTGTTTTTTTTAACATCTTTTATCAACGTCTGTTTACCTTGCAATTTTTAGAAGGCTCAGATTATAAGCAGAAATCTGAATTGTGATTCGAAACTATTTTACGGGTTTTTATATATATATATATATATATATATATATATATATATATATATATATATATATAAGTAAATTTTCAATATTGGGTTTGCAGCAATAGAAATGATACGTGTACTCTTTTAAATTTTATTCCGAGCTTTCGGACATGGTTATGTCCTTCATCAGGGAGCTACAAATGTGATGAATAGTTTGTTACAAGTTTGTATAATGAATTCTTTTATATATATATATATATATATATATATATATATATATATATATATATATATATATATATTTTTTTTCTCGTCATTTATCGTCATTTTTTTCTCGAAAGTTTTAGCATGTTTTAAGAGATGTTTATGCCCGTAAACCTTTAAAGTTTTATATTTGTTAATGACAACATAACGACGACAAAAAGTACATTTTTTAGCAATAACTTGTTTATAAATAAAAATTATTAATAAATTTGACGCAGGAAATAGTTAGAATATGTTTGAATAACTGTTATACCTACATAAAAGAAAAAAGATTTCAGTACCCTGGCTTTTTGAGTGTCACGAACGGGGTGTATTTTTGCCTAAAATTCTGATCTAATTCGACATACTGTTTAAAAATGTAAAACTTTTATGTTTTTATACAACTACTGAGTCTGTTCTCTTCGGTCTGTAATTAAAATTTTCTAAATAATGCTTAGTAGGAAGAAGGAAAAGCTCTATCTGTCTTCTTTTGTCTATAAATTAACAGGCGAAAACAAAATGTAAAATCAAAATTGTGTGGGGATGTTTATGAAAACAAAGTATATTAAAAAAATTATTTAAAGGATAATAAAATTAATATAGTTTTTGTATGCTATTTTAGGTCCTCCGGGTATGCCAGGTTATCCAGGAATTAAAGGTGAACCTGGTATGCCAGGTTTAGTAGGAGCGAAAGGTGTTAAAGGTATAGTATTATTTTTGGTATGTTTTTTATATATGGTTAGCAATAACTAAGTTAATATATTTTGATTGTACATTCAGAAAGCAAAGATATTAACCGTAAGCTTCAAATGTGCTTGATATCGACATAAAAGGTTTTTGTTACATACATAAATAATAACTATATATTAACAAAAGTGGTTGTATACAAATTAATTTTTATATTTATCAGAATATTTATGTCAACACATTCACAATTCTCGTTCTTCCATTTTATTTAGCTCAGTTGCACTATCCTGCACACCTCGAATTTTGCTATTTTAAAAGACATATTTACACTATTCAAAACTATTTTATGGTTTACCTAAACTTAACCTCTTGCAGTTTTCCAATTATCTTATCTAATGTAAATCATTTACAATATTCGGCATCATCAATTAGCCTATATTTGGTCACTGCTAAACGTAGGCCTCCCGTAACATTTTCCACCTATTTCTATCTTAAGCTTCTTGCATCCAGTTTGTGGTGATGTGCTTGATATCATCCGTCCATCTAGTTGGTGGTCGTCCTCTGCTTCAATATGCCTCTTTCCTTGGTCGCCATTCCAGAATCTTTCTGGTCCTTTTATCATCCGTTAATCTAGCAACATGTCCGACTCAAGCCCATTTAGCCATTACTACTTTTTTAACTGCATCTGAGATTCCTGTTCTTCTTCTTATTTCTAGGTTTAGTACTTTATCTCTGATGGTAATACCTAATATTGATCTTTCCATAGCGCGTTGTGTAACGCTTATATCTATTGTTCTTTTTTGTCAAAGTCGATGTTTCTGCATTATATGTAAGAACCGGTAAAACGCAGTGGTTAAAATTCTTTCTTTTTAAACAAACTTGGATAATAGACGTGAAAATGTTATTCAATCTACCAAAGGCAGCCCATGTGAAACCTATCATTCTTTATATTTCAGTTGTCTGATTATCTCGGCCTAAGCGAATCTCATGTGCTAGATATTTGTAAGCTATTACTTGGTCGATGCTATGGCTCTTAATCAGAATTTTACCGCTGACTAAAAGGTAGTCAGCTACTAGAGCATTAAGTGAAACTGAAGATGGAATCAAAATCAACGAACATACTATTAGTTATCTTCGCTATGCTGATGATACAGCCATAATAGCTGATTGCCAAGAAGCGCTACAACGACCAATAGATAAAATAAACACCGAAGGAGAACGACTGGGCTTGAAGATTAATATAGATAATACGAAGGTAATGGTGGTTAGTAGAACACAATATATACAATTAAATATAAGAGTTAACAACAAGAACATCCAAAACGTCCCAAAATTCAGATATCTCGGTAGTTGGATAACTGAAGATCTAGATCCAGACATAGAGATACGTAGCAGGATTAAGCAAGCCACAACAGCATTTACCAATATGAGAAACTTGCTAAGCAACAGCAGCCTCAACTTAACGCTTCGATATCGCTTTGTAAAATGTTACATTTACTCCATACTGCTATATGGTGTAGAAAAATGGACCATAAAGGCCAATATAATGAACCGATTGGAGGCCTTTGAAATGCGGGTATTTAGAAGACTACTTAAAATTCCCTGGACAGATCAAACAACAAATGTCAAAGTATTAAATCGAATGGGCAAAAAACGATAATTGCTGTCAATAATAAAAAAAAAGAAAAACTGCTTATCTGGGTCATAAATTTCGAAATTCCAAGTACCAGTTCTTAAAGCTTATTATGGAAGGAAAGATAAAAGAAAAACCAGGCATCGGAAGAAAGAAATACTCATGGCTTAACATAAGGGATTAGATAAACCTCGATGCCCATGCACTTTCTAGAGCCACTCAAGATCGAGAAGAGTATGCCAGAATTGTCGCCAACATCCACTAATTGGATAGGGCACCATAAGAAGAAGAACTACAAGGTTGGTCATAAATTTTGTCTTTGAGGTGTTAATTTTAGGACCAATTGTTTTTGACACTTTATAGAGCGTGTGCAGCATTTTTGTAGCTTTATCAACTCTATCAAAAATTAAAACGATGTCATCGGCAAATCTTAGGTGTTTCAGATCTTCCCCATTTATACCAATTCCCATATTATCCTCTCGTTCCATTTTCTTAAACATTTATTCAAGAATAGCTGTAAACAATTTAGGGGAGATAGTATCACTGTGTCTAATTCCACATTCGATTCGAAACTTCTTGGTATCCTCATGAACGCGGACACAAGCTGTACAACTTTCGTAAATACTTTTAATCAAGGTGATATATTGGTAGTCAATGCGGCAGTCAGCCAATACTCGAAGCATTTTATGATAATCTATAGTATCGAAGCCTTTTGATAATCTACGAATATAAGAAAGATAGGCTTGTTATCTCTGTACACATTTCTACTAGCGTTTTTATAACTTGTAGATGATCGTTTGTTCCGTATTTGGAGCGGAATCCAGCCTGTTCACAAGGTTGGTAACTATCCAGTTTGATCACAAGCCGTTTTGTTATTATCTTCACGAATATTTTGTATGTATGGGAGAGCAAACTAATAGGTTTGTAGTTATTTGGGTCTGAAATGTCACCTTTTTTATGCAATATGCTTATTATTGCAATATGCCACTGGTAGGGGATTACGCCTCTTGTCAAACAATCATTGTCAAAGAAAATATTTTTCAACACATTTACTAACGTTCCTCCTTCTTCTTTAATTTCTTCAATGACTATCCCATCTTTTCCAGGTGATTGATTGTTTTTCATGTCCGAGAGAGCTGATTTTATTTCCTCTGTTGTGATATCTGGGATGTCTTCTGAGCCTACATTTTAAATTTTTGTTATTTGATTTTGATCAGAATCTGGAAGTTCTTCTCGCTTATACAATTCTGAGTAAAAATCTTGAGCAATTTTTAAAATATCTTTCTTATTTGTTATAGTTACAATATTATTATTACTAAAGTCTATGCCCTAATGGGGATCTAGAATAACTTGTCCTTGTTTTCAACTTGATGATTTATATAACTCATAACTCTAAGAAAGTTTGTTATATACTGGATGCTAATCTTCATTATAGAAAAATTATAAAGGTGCCGAGTATGGTATTTGCGAAAATTTACCCAAATTTAGATAGTGGTGAAATATCGCAGCGGTTACTTATGTAACTGGGTTTATTTCAAATTGGACAGACTAAACGTTGCAATCAAACGTTTAAGAGAAGTTTATTGTAGATGAGTATAGAGTCTCGTGTACGAAAATGCCGATTTCTTAAGAAAGGTATGGTTTCCATACACTGAATAAAAACTGGATTTATTTCTACACTTCTGTATTCTGCAACATCCTTAACGGTTGTATTATTATAATACAACTATAATACAATGTATTATTATAATACTCAATTTGTTGGATTTAAATGTCATTTTAGATAAAACACTACATAGTGAATGAGCCAATTTGGTGTGCTATTAGTATTACTATTTGGGAATTGTAGGGTAAGGTGAGTCAAGTGCGTAGCCGGGGTAAGTGCGTTTGGATTAAATAAAAATATCTGTAACGTGAAGTTGGGTATGAAACCGATTTCAAATTTAGCGCCAAGTATTAAATCAAAGAGCTGCACACATGAGTGGCAACGTCGTTGAATTCACGACATAGTAGCATACGTGTTTGTTGGTAGTTATATTTGAAGTTATACAAAGAGCAGGTAAGTGTTTTTTTTAATTGTTTTGATACCATTTATGTTTTTCCGCTCTAGTTTGCTAGTAATTAAAAGGTGCGCACTTTCCCCAGAGATTTGTCACATGGCGCAAGTGCATTTTGGGTGTAGGGGCAAGTGCGTCCTTACCTTAAGGTACTTGCCCCGGCATAAAATCTGAATAAAAATTTTTAATTCTTATTTAGAGATAGTCCGAAATTTTGCCAGAAAGACGGAGAAAGGTTCGCAATATTCAGCAGAAGCCCTTAACATTGCCTTATCGGATATAAGAAATCAGAATTTCACTGTCAAGGGAGCATCGCGCACATACAATATTCCTGTGACAACATTACGGGATCACTTGAGTAGAAGAAGAGGAGCGAAGGGATCAGGACAAGGTCGATCTACCGACAATACATTGGCAGAAGAAAGGCGATTGGCAGAAGGTCTTCGCACGATGGAGCAATGGGGATTCGGTTTGTCCCGTAAAGAACTTTTAGAATTAAGCCAACAATTCGTTTAATCAACCAACTTAAAAACTCAATTTAAAGATGGTAGACTAGGTTAAGACTGGTTCTTAAATTCTAAAAGAAGACATCGGCTGTCAATAAAGAAACCGAAAATAGTTTAGTTTGCAAGGAAGAAGGCCATGAATCATTTTGTTGTTAAAAATTATTTTAAGTTATTAAATGAAACCATTCAATTTTTGAGAGATGCTGGCAAACCTAAGAAAATTTACAATATAGACGAAACAGGATTTTCGAGTGACCCCTCTAAAACAAAAGTTGTTGGAAAGAAAGGAGCACCATGCACAACAACCACCAGTGGACTGGGAAGGGAGAACACTACAGTGGTGATGACAGCAAGCGCTAGTGGCGAAAATATTCCTCTATTAATCGTTTTTAAAGGCAAAAATATATGGGATAAATGGATTGCGGATAAACATGATGTCTTTCCTGGTACTGCTTATGCAGCTACTAAAAATGGCTGAATTGATGCTATTGTATTTCGCAACTATTTTGAGCGTACTTTTGTAAAAAACATTGGTCCTGATCCGGCCTATACTAGTTGTCTATGACGGACATTCAACCCACTCAACTCCACGGCAGATTTGGTCAATTACGCGAGATCGAAAGGAATCACCATCCTTAAACTACCGGCTCATTCAAGTCACATTCTCCAGCCATTGCATTTATTGGTGTCCAATATTTTAAAATCAATGTGGGACAAAGAACTTGTGAAATGGTAGCGACAGTTTGCTGGTCGGAGACTTTCCAAAAAAGTATTTTCTAAGCTGTTGGAAAAATATGGACAACAATCAACCCAGAGGTTA